ACCTCTCCCACTGTGCTGGGACCCCATAACGACCTCAAAACCCCCAGAACCTTTGGTAGGACCCATAAACACCTCAAGGGTTCCTCACTCCCAGGTGCGCCCAGGTGCGCCCAGGTGCGCCCAGGTGCCCGTACCGTGACGGTGGCCAGCAGCCCCTCGGGCACGTAGGCCACCACGATGGCCATGAAGAAGACGACGGCGCGCAGCAGGGGGTAGCCGATCAGCATGGCCACCACGAAGAAGGTGCCGCCGAAGAGCACGGCCAGCCCGGCGATGATGTCCACGAAGTGCTCGATCTCCACCGCGATCGGCGTCTTCTCGTTCTCCACGCCCGACGCCAGGCTGGCGATGCGGCCGATCACCGTGCGGTCACCTGTGCTGATCACCAGCCCCGTGGCCGTACCTGGGGACAGGTGAGAGGGGCTCAGGTGTGACCAGGTGTGACCCAGGTGTGACCCAGGTGTGACCCAGATGTGACCCAGGTGTCCCCCCCCAGGCCAGGCTGGCGATGCGGCCGATCACCGTGCGGTCACCTGTGCTGCTCACCAGCCCCGTGGCCGTACCTGGGGACAGGTGAGAGGGGCTCAGGTGTGACCAGGTGTGACCCAGGTGTCCTGAGGTGTCCCTAGGTGTCCCCAGCTGTCCCCAGGTGTCCCCCCCCAGGCCAGGCTGGCGATGCGGCCGATCACCGTGCGGTCACCTGTGCTGCTCACCAGCCCCGTGGCCGTACCTGGGGACAGGTGAGAGGGGCTCAGGTGTGACCAGGTGTGACCCAGGTGTCCTGAGGTGTCCCTAGGTGTCCCCAGCTGTCCCCAGGTGTCCCCAGGTGTGTCCAGGTGTGTTACAGGTACCCCAGGCTGATCGCCAGCCCCGTGCCCGTACCTGGGGACAGGTGAGGTGTGACCCAGGTGTCCTGAGGTGTCCCTAGGTGTCCCCAGCTGTCCCCAGGTGTCCCCAGGTGTCCCCAGGTGTCCCCAGCTGTCCCCAGGTGTCCCCAGGTGAGTTTTGGTGTCCCCAGGTGTCCCCAGGTGTCCCCAGGTGTCCCCAGGTGTCCCCAGGTGTCCCCAGGTGCTCACCCTCCAGGCACATGGTGGAGAAGAAGGCGATGTTGCGGCTCTCCAGGTGAGACTCGTGGCTGCACTCAGGTGAGCGCGTCTGCGGCTCCGACTCCCCGGTCAGCGAGGAATTGTCCACCTGGGCCAGGCCCCGCCCACACCTGAGCCTCCAGCTGTGCCCAGCTGTGCCCAGCTGTGTCCCCAGGTGTCCCCAGGTGTGCCCAGGTGTGGTTTTTTTGCCCCCCAGGTGTCCCCAGGTGTGTTTTTATGCCCCCCAGGTGTGCCCAGGTGTGTCCCCAGGTGTCCCCAGGTGTGCCCAGGAGCCCCCCAGGAGCCCCCCAGGTGTCCCCAGGTGTCCCCAGATGAGTTTTGGTGTCCCCAGGTGTGCCCAGGTGTGTTTTTACGCCCCCCAGGTGTCCCCAGGTGTGCCCAGGTGTGTTTTTACGCCCCCCAGGTGTGCCCAGGTGCGCTCACCTTGCAGCCCTGCGCCGCCAGGATCCGGATGTCGGCTGGGACTCGATCTCCACCTTTGATCTCCACCAGGTCCCCCAGGACGAGCTCGGCCGCGTTCACCTGCAGGGTCTGCCCCGCCCGGATCACCGTGGCTTGCTGGCACAGGTGAGACCAGGTGAGACCAGGTGACACCACAGGTGTGTCCCCGGGTGTCCCCAGGTGTGGTTTTGATGTCCCCAGGTGTGCCAGGTATGTCCCAGGTGTCCCCAGGTGTGATTTTCTCTCCCCCCAGGTGTCCCCAGGTGTGCCCAGGTGTGATTTTGTCTCTCCCCAGCTGTCCCCAGGTGTCCACAGCTCCTTGCAGGTGTCCCCAGATGTGTCCCCAGCTACCCCCAGGTGTCCCCAGGTGTCCCCAGGTGTCCCAGGTGTGTTTTTGATGTCCCCAGGTGTCCCAGGTGTCCCCAGGTGTGTTTCTGATGTCCCCAGGTGTGTTTCTGATGTCCCCAGGTGTCCCCAGGTGTGTTTCTGATGTCCCCAGGTGTCCCAGGTGTCCCCAGGTGTGTTTTTGATGTCCCCAGGTGTGTTTCTGATGTCCCCAGGTGTCCCCAGGTGTGTTTCTGATGTCCCCAGGTGTCCCCAGATGTGTCCCCAGCTCCCCCCAGGTGTCCCAGGTGTGTTTTTCTCTCCCCCAGGTGTCCCAGGTGCGCTCACCTGCGGGACCAGGTTGCGGAAGCTGGCGATGATGTTGGTGCTCTTGAACTCCTGGTAGTACCCGAAGCATCCGGTGACGACCACGACGGCGATGAGAGCCACGGCCAGGTACAGCTGCAGGTGAGGCCAGGTGAGAGCGGGCCTGGGCTCAGGTGTGCCCAGGTGTGCTACAGGTGTGCTACAGGTGTGCCCAGGGGTGTCCCAGGTGTGCCCTGGGGTAACCCAGGTGTGCCCTGGGGTAACCCAGGTGTGCCCTGGGGTAACCCAGGTGTGCCCTGGGGTAACCCAGGTGTGCCCTGGGGTAACCCAGGTGTGCCCTGGGGTAACCCAGGTGTGCCCTGGGGTAACCCAGGTGTGCCCTGGGGTAACCCAGGTGTGCCCTGGGGTAACCCAGGTGTGCCCTGGGGTAACCCAGGTGTGCCCTGGGGTAACCCAGGTGTGCCCTGGGGTAACCCAGGTGTGCCCTGGGGTAACCCAGGTGTGCCCTGGTGTAACCCAGGTGTGTCCAGGTGTGTTACAGGTACCCCAGGTGTGCTACAGGTGTGCCCAGGTGTGTCCCAGGTGTGCCCTGGTGTAACCCAGGTGTGCCCTGGTGTGCTACAGGTGTCCCCAGGTGTGTCCCAGGTGTGCCCAGGTGTGCCCTGGTGTAACCCAGGTGTATCCCAGGTGTGTCCAGGTGTGTTACAGGTACCCCAGGTGTGTTATAACTGCCCCCAGGTGTGCCCAGGTGTATCCCAGGTGTGCCCAGGTGTACTCACGTTGTCGGAGCTGCCCCGGTCACCCTCTCCCCGCTGCACGCCGTAGGCGGTCAGGCAGATGACCCCAGCCAGGTGTGCCCAGGTGTGTTATAACTGCCCCCAGGTGTGTTA